TTTTTTGGAATATTTTATTTTTGCTTTTGAACTGTAATATAAACAAAAAATACAAAACACAACTTTTTGCACAAGACAGGACAATACAAGACAAAAAGGAAAAAGAGAAAAAAATAAAAAATAAATAAAATTGGGATGATACAGGATATCATAGTTATTACTGTGTAAAACCTCACTCGAAAAGAGAATCCATCCGGTCTATTGAAGTGTCTTCCATATAACGGAAAAGGGGTTGCCAAATTTTATAAAATACTTTACTTTTATTTCTTAGCCAGTATGTTAATTTTTCCAAGGGTATACAGTTATTAACCTCAGATAACCATAGACTTATGGGAATAACAGTATCAGATTTCCACTTCATTGCAATGCACTTCTTAGCAATTATTAGTAGAATTTCTGTGAGTCTTATGATCTTGAGTAATATTGGAATTGGTGTAATTAAATCTGGGTACTGTCTTACGTTTTAAAATCACAAAGGGAGTTTGGTGCCATCAGGCTAACTTGACAGTCACGACTCATGCAGCTGTAATGTTTTCTTTTTCTTTTGTTTTTACTCGCGATCTTTACAACACACATTACATTACGTATTTCATGGCACACTCGTTTTATGCGTATTTGGCGCCACCTATTGTTGTGGGTGTATTATTGACATGTCAAAGTCTAGACCCTGAATATAAGACGACCGCGTTTTTTCAGATGTATTTCCAAGAAAAAAACATCGTCTTATATTCGGGACAATACGGTAATATAATTTTATATACTATTATACTAACAATTATTCTTTATTACTTCTTAAGATAAACTTAAGATCATCTAAGTGTACTGAACTGTGCTGTTTTGAGACGCCATGAATATGAACTGAAATGTGTTTTTAAAAATGTATTTAGTCACCACTTGTAGTACACTTGAGTGTATTAGTGTATGAAAGATGAGTTCAAGTGTACTACAAGTGGTGACTCAATAATTGTGTTTTAAGCGAGGCTTGAGTGTGTCTGTCCGCAGGTATCAGAGGAAGTACCAGTACACACAGCTGGGCCGTACGCTGTGTCAGCCGCCCACCAAAGCCGTGGCAGAGACGCAGTTCTTCTTCGTGGACGTGTCGACGCTGTCCAGCGCTGGGGTCCACTATCAGCTGCGCGTCAGTCGCGTGGACAGCTTCACGCTGCAGTGAGTCACTGAGCAGAGTCCATCACAATCAGCTGAGATCCACGCTCCCGCTGAGCTTTAATCTGATGCACACTAGGGCTGCACCATACTGGAAAACACTCACATTGTGATATTTAGTTTTTCTGCGATATGAAAAAAAAAAATCACCAGATGACTTGAATAGCTCTATTTGGAAAAAAAAAATCAATGATTGGGATGATTTTGTAGGTGAGTAAATCAGCATAGAAAATAAACAAATTACAAACATAAATAGAATAGAATAAAGATACTAATGAAATTAACAGTGCTTTATTATATTTTTCAGGTAAGTCTAACAGTATTCAGGTACAGCAACTGAATAATCAAATGTAAAATGACTCTGCATATAGGGCTGGGCGATATGGACAAAACTTATATCACGATATATTTCTTAATTTCGGTCGATATGATATAATTCCGATATCGATAACACTGTCTGAAATAGAAATCTTTTGTAACATTATAAATGTCTTTATCATCACTTTTGATCAATTTTAAGCATCCTTGCTAAATAAAAGTATTACTTTCTATAATTTCTTAACCAAAAAAAATATAAAAATTATACTGAATGCAATAGTGTATAATGTTAATAAAGCTTTTTATTTCAGATAAATGCTGATCTTTCTATTCATCAAAGAATCCTGAAAAAAAATGTACTCAACTGTTTTAAATATTGACAATCAGCATATTATACTGATTTCTGAAGATCATGTGACACTGAAGACTGGAGTAATGATGCTGAAAATACAGCTGCGCATCACAGAAATAAATTACAGTTTAACAGATATTCACATAGAAAACTGCTGTTTTAAATAGTAAAAATATTTCACAATTTTACTGTTTTTGCTGTA